CACTGCCAGTTTGTGGAAGATCCATGGCACCACAGCCATCAACCATGTTGGTCTCTGCAGTCTGCATTTGGCTGCTGCTTTCAGCCACACGACTGCATGCAGGTAACCGCATCAGAGGACAGACCCTCATTATCGACATTTCGGAATTTGCTGACCCTACAGATTCTGGTTACCAACAGTGTGGGTTAAAATGCTACTTTGGTCATGTGTGAAAGTTTGAGGTATTTACGAATGGAGCTGATTCTTCTAATTACATCAACATAATTGTCTAGGGGGTACAAAAATTGGTTCATGTCGAGGCGTTCCAAGCAGAACTCATAATGGCTAATTTCCTATTACATATACTTCAATTTCTACAAATGTTCTGTTGTTTATATTATATTTAAGCATATAAATTGATTGTTATTGTTTTTAAAGTTTTTTGTTTGTTTTTTAATTTCTATTTTGCTTTTCATATCCATTGGAGTTGAAATGTGCTTAGCATAACTTCTGTACCTAAATTTATCTGTGAGCGTTGTCGAATGAAAGGCCAACATTTATGTGTGTCTTGCTTACCGAATATGAGACCTAGATTACCACGTACCACCTACTCAGAAGTATTTGAAATAAACTTTTTAAATGATCTGTTACCTGACATTTTGCCGAGGTCAAGAAAGAGGGGAGCTGTACCTCCACTCACCCCAAGTGCCTTTACGGCACATAGCGGGACAAACTTTACTTTACCTAACATTTAACATTTCTCTGGTTGATATATCCGTGGGGAAATCATGAGTGTTGAAATTATCATTATTCACAGCATTACAGAATTAAAAGAATAAAGAATATTATGAGATCCGGTGTTTTGCCTGAAATCACTCATTTATTGTTTACTTTCATAAAAACTGTTTAATTTATTGCAACAGATTTTGTCATAAGAAAGTAAATGAATATTTTAGCAAGTTTAATTTTGTATTTCTAGAGATGGGCTTGTGGTTTGTGCGCAGTCCAGAGCCAATTGTAGCTCCTCCTGGCGATGAAGTTGTGTTTGAGTGTTCACTAAATGTTCCGGCCGAGCAGGTGCGGTGGAGGCATGATGGTCGATTCCTGCACCATAATCATGGCAATGAAACAAGTTCCTCAGGTTTAGGGAACCACAGCACCAAGAGCAGTCATCTGGTGGTAAGAGTTCATGATGAACATCAGGCAGGTGACTACCAGGTATGAATAATAATTTCACTAACTAACCAATTAACGTAAGATTTGAGGTTTTCACAGCGGTGAGTATGAAGATTTCTGTCTTCTGGGTTGTTGCGCTGTGTAGTCTGGTTGATATTAACCAACGTTTCAGAGGTCATACTGCCTCCGTCATCAGGGCGATGAATATTCAGAATATTCACAGCGCAACAACCCAGAAGACAGATATCTTAACCAATTAACCTTTCCTCTGGTAATAGAACCCACAGGTTCCACATTACTTTTACCAATATCAACTGTGGCATGCCGTTCTGAACCAGTTCCATCCACTTCACATCTTCAGAACTTTTTCCTGGAGTTTTTTATTATCATGCCGCCTCCTCTCTAGTCTTCCAGATAGCTGCTTTCTAAGAGATTTTCCCTCCAACATTTTATTACACACGTTTCTTGTTTCCTGTTCCTTGTTTATTGTCGCATCCAAGTTATATATATGTATGCCTAGCACATTTGATCTTTGTTATTTTTTCATTTTAACGAGATTAGATGGAAATGTGAAAATCACACAAATTTCGTTCTTATGTAATGTCCTGTGTTCTCTGCTCATTTAATATCTTCTGTTTTAATTTTAGTACAGTTTCTAACTAAACAGACAAATCGGAAACTTCGGTCAGTTGTAGTTTGTCTTGTTAGTGTATAAAGTTACTGTACGTGGTCACATGACTTATTTTTGAGGTGGCTGTTTTCTGGGTTGTAGTGCCATTTAGTCAGGGCACCCTGAAGATTGAGGCAGCAAGCGCCTCTGAAATGTTGATAAACTTCTACCAGACTACTAATTATACGAGGCTCGTCCACAAAGTAAGTTTCCCTGGGGCCGTTTACAGAAACAAAACACAATTTCATGGAAATATTTATTGCAACAGATACAGCAAGTGTCCAGCTATTTTTCAACATATTCGCCACCGGAATTGAGACATTTGTCATACCGTGGGACCAACTTTTAATACCTGTGTCGTAGAAGTCTGCCGCCTGGGATTGGAACCACTGTGTGACAGCCATCTCCGCCTCTCTGTCATTCTCAAAACGCTGACGCTGACCGGACAGGAATTTCTTGCGGTGTAGGAAAAGATGGAAATCACTGGGAGCGAGGTCCGGGCTGTAGGGTGAATGATTAAACACCTCCCAGCTGAACTCCTGCAGGAGACTTGCTGTCCGTCGAGCCGTGTGCGGCCTAGCGTTATCACTGATCGCTCTTCACAGTCGGCGGGAGCTGGAATAAGAACCTCCATCTTCAACAGCTGCAACGATGCTACTGTTAGAACGCGGGAAGTACCGTTAGTGCATGCGCCATGCTACGTCATTGCTCTATCACGTACGAACAATCGATTCGCGCAATATAAGGTTTGCTAGCTGTGGGACGAGTGGGAAACTTCCTTTGTGGACGCGCCTCGTATTTTGAGGAAGTGGCCCCTTGATATGTATTATAACTATGAATATTTTGAATATCCAGTCATGGACAGCTGATGAATGATGGTCCTCTAACTTGGAGGTTAGATGGGGTAATAAGCTTTCACTGCTAGCATGTTAAGATACACAGGGCCTCAAACTTACAAGCTCTTGTGGACGTAATAATGGACCTTCAGGTTGCATAAAAGGTGGGAGTTTTCTGATCAGCTAAGGGGCTGTTAGCTTTTCAAGAAAGATTGCTCCATGGAGCTACTGTTTGTTGTTGCTGAGGAGAAAAGTCTTAACTTTGATAGTGCAAACCCACACAGAAGTAAACATTACATTGTGTTGAGTTAAAATCTTAAAGATTTGGCAAGGTCCACATCTTAACCTCACAACATTCATACACACTGCCAAGGTCATGGCCTTTCTCCTGAATAACAGACAATACGTTAAATTTCAAGTGGTGTGTTTATTTGTTGTATAATAATGAATTCTGTCTATGTGGCTTGGATGGACAAAAGAATAAAATTATACTTAATTTTTATGGGGAGACTAAGAAGTAGTCACCTAGAAGATGAAGGAGGAGGTAGGAGGATTATATTAAAATGGATCTTGCAAAGGAGGTGTTTGTTGACCATGCACTTTCATGTGAAAGTGTTTGCATTTGACAAATTGTGGGTTGCTGAGTGCAGAAGTCATAGCCATTTTGTATTAGTGTGATTACATACTCTGAGATGTTAAAGGCTCACCAACTGTCCAATCTAACCTAACCAAACCTAACCATAATTCTGAAGTAATGTTTAAATACTTCCAGTGTGTTGCATGGATTGGGGCATCAGCTCTGGCCTCAGTACCAGCGAGACTAAGCCTGGCTGAACTACGAGCATTCCCCCAGCAGTCTAGCCAGCAGTATGAAGTGGTGGCTGGCAACACTGTGGCATTACATTGTGGAACACCTTATAGCAACCCACCAGCATTAGTACAATATTACAGGAACAATGAAAAGCTACAAGGTAAAAAATTCTTCACTAAAAGTTTTTTCAACTATGTTACTTTTAACCTGTGATTTTTAAATTTAAAAATAGAAAAATATTTGAGAATTAGTTACTTTGGATTCAGCAAATTAATTATGGATATTTAATGACTGAACAATAATCTATCCTGTTAGCCATGTGGTGTGTAGTACACATTGCCTTGGGCCAATTCCATACTGGAATCATGGAAGGAAGTCTGTGACATGTTCAAACTAGGGGCTGTTGCTACTGATGGTAGGATGATCCCATCAGGTAAATTTTCTTTTATGAAAAGATTGTTGTTTGGTTGAATGCTGGGAGTGGAACTCAGATGGATTGAAATCACTTTTGGGAAGGGGGGAGATCATTTTCATTGAAGTTTTCCATGATTGGGGTAGGTGGGCCATGCCCCTTTTGTATTATACCTTGGCATTTGCTTTAAAACTGAGGAAAAACACAGAAAACCTGTCAGAGTAGCCAGGTAGTCATTGCATCGACTCCGCTGTCTTTTTGGCATGGCCTCAGCTGACCTGCTGAGGATCAGTGCACCTTTTGAAAGTCTTTGCTAGCCGAGTAGCATAGTGCAGTGTTTTAAAAAATCTTGATCACATAACCCTTAAAAATTAAATTAAATCCGTGGCGTAACAGCTCCAGAGAGCCAAAGCCGACTAGCTTGACTGCTGGCCTCACGTTCACATGCCTAAGCAGAGGTGAACGATCATCCAACCAGATATAGAGTGACATGTGGTCAGCACAACGAACCCCCAGCCATTGCTAGCTTTCCTGACTGGATTACGCTACTCACTGTAGCTCCCCAATTTCCTCACGATGCTGGGTTGGCACCGGTCCCATACACTGGTCGAAAGCTCATGAGAAAATTTCTTCTTCCCCGAGACTCGAACCAGCGCGCATTCCGTATCGCCGGTCTGAAGCATGATGCCTCAGACCGCGTGGCTACGGTGCGGGACTATCACATAACCCTTTGGCCACTGAAATATTCACCAAATATACCAAATCAGAATGGGATAGTTTTTTGTGCTACTTGATATTAGAGAAATAATCATTGCTTTATTATGCGATGGATTTCTTATTGTACTCTCATGAAGTAGGGTTTGTGTTGTTATTTTTTGTCTTTTTCTTTGTGCAAGATCTAAGCTGGATCTGAAATAGTATTGTGCATCTTTGGTAAACAAATATGCTTTTCTGTGTATCAGATTTTCAAAGATCCGTTGTGTATGTGTGTGTGTGTGTGTGATAACCCATATAAGGTGTAAATATTATTTTAGGAGAAGAAGATTCTTAATTAAGGAAATGATGTACCTCCTGGAAATACCAAGTTCTACAGAGCACAGTTTGGGAATAATTCTAGGGCTGTAATATTTTAGAATGTGAAAGCACACAGTATCTTGTAACTGTTGTGCTAACAGTTTCAGCTAATATGGAATTCCTTGCCTCTATGGGCACACTAATCCTGCAGAATGTCACATCCCAGGATACAGGAAGTTACCATTGTGCAGCCACCAACTATATCACGGGTCAGACAGTATCATCACAATTCAATATCATGTTGCGGGTTGTGCCTCAGGGAGTACAGGAGGCTCCCCACTTCCTCAACACTCCATGCACAAACTACACTATTCAAGCAGGTAACTCATGTGTCCTATGTGTGATCTCATATTAACTTTAAAAGTTAGTGTGACTGGTAGCTGCCATCCATCGCGCTGAAGTTACTGAATACTCTTTTAGTTTCAAAAACTGTTACCAAACATGTATGTGGACTGTGGTCCCTAATAAAATGCATGTTGTACACAGGTTCAAATGTAACGCTGGAATGCAGTGCAGTGGGTGACCCTCCTCCGCAGGTAACTTGGCACAAATCTGGTGGCACAATACCCCCAAATAGGACAGAACTGCTTCCTGGAGGACTCCATCTTAGCCATGTTAGGAAAGGAGATGAAGGGGTGTACATATGTGATATGAGTAATGGAGTGGGGCAGCCAGTCAGACATTCGGCCATGTTGTATGTACAGGGTAAGCACACACCATTTCTTTTTATTCTCGTGTATCTTCTCATAATCTCTTCTCTTTTGTCTTTTGTTTTTCTTCTCGGGACCTGTAGTAAACACCCTCAATCTTATGTTGTTCCGAATAAATTCTCTTTCATTTCTGTTATATGAAATTTTAACATAACAGAAAATGCATGGCCATTAATAATGCTTTATATTTCAAATGATGATAGAACCTCCAGTGATTGTGAAGGAGTCAAGGAATCAGATGGTAAAAGAGGGAGGAGACATGCAGCTGGACTGCCTGGTTAGTGGTTCACCTGCACCTAGAATCAGCTGGCTGCTGAATGGAGAGCCAGTCGCTAATGATAGCCATGTGGGAACTACAGGTGAAGAGCACTAGCTATTAATGTTGTACGATGGAATAGTAGAATCTCGTAAGAGAAACATCTCTGTATGGAGTTAACAGATTTTTAGTTGAGTAAAAATAAAATAATGGTATTTTAACAGAGTTGAAGGTGGCATGAGGAGGAAGGATAAACTGCAAAAGTAAGTACTGTGTATACGTAGAATCTTGAGACATCAGATGTCGTCATGATGGAATTTTTATTGAATCCTTCCATGTAAAATCAACACATAAAAATGCTCTTTTTGACCATATTCCATTGAATTTCAATAAAAGTTGATGAACTTGTAGACCTTATGGATGTGAGTAAAAATGCCAGTTTTTAGCTCTCTACTTTTTTTCCATCAGGCATTTAAAATTTGAAAAGAAAGACTATTTTTAGCACTGCATTTGTTGTAAAAATTGCACTAACTCTCCCTAATTGTACTAGAGTATGCATTCTGAAGAAGGACTCAGTACCGTGGAGTTAGTTTAGTTAGTTACATATGTATTTAATGAAATACAAGCAAAGAAGACTGAAGTGTATAGTGATATCCCTGTCATTAATATTAATTAAATTTTTCATTGCTAGAATTGTAAAATCCTGGGGATCATATTTGAAAAATCTTTGTGCATGGAGGTGCAGTACACCTGTACACTCTTATATAAAGAAGACAGACATTAAGTTGTGTGTCTTGTCTTTCATCCTGATTCATTTGACTTTCAATGAAGAAGAATGTGCTGCATCCAGTAATATTGTGTTATTCTTTTACAGCAGAAGGGAAGCTAAATATCACCCAAGTAGAAAAGCGCCATGCAGGAATCTATCAGTGTTTTGCTACCAATGAGCTGGGCTCGGTGTATGGCTCTGTGATGTTGCAGGTATTACCAAAACAAGTGACAGCTATGCCTACAAGTGATCTCCTGCCAGGAACAGGGGAACTAGAAGGTATGTCATACTGCTGAGTCCAAAACTACATATGAATTGGCAGGCTCCTTCATAAAAATGGACTCAACACTTGTCATCTGATGAGATGTTTATGTACTTTTTGTAGGTAGTTATTTTTACTGGTTTCTGATAGAGTTACTATGTTCTTTATGATGTTTATATTTTTGTCTAATAAATTAACGTTGTCAGAAAAGATCAACAACAGATGCATTCCATTCATTCTTGATTCTCATTGGCTTTCCTAATGATGGCACATTGTAAAGTGAATTGCAGTGACAGTTAAGTTAAAGCATTCCTTCATTTAAAACTGTCATGAATATGAAATCTATCAGATAAATGTCTTTGTTGTGGGGTTCATCAAACTTCTACTAGACTACGTGGTGCAGTAATCACTTGTATTATCATTTATTCACTGTTTTTGCTGGTCAATAATTTCCCTTGTAATGCTAACATTTTAGCTGCTGTCAGTTTGAGTTCCAAGTAATTATTTCCTGAAAATATAGGTATGAATTTGTCATTAAAACAGTAACTTTATTTTCTTTTATTCTTTTTATACTCCATTTCTTTCTTTTCGCAATCCTTCATATTCACCTTCTGCACATTCTTCATCCTCTTCTTTTCTTTATTGACTTATTTTTATTTCACTCTTTCTTGAATGCCATAGTTCAGGATCTGAAAGGTTTATGTAATTTGTGTAGTCTTTGTTATGTTATCTTATCCTTTATAAATTATGACAACATGCTTTCAGAGCCCTTGGATGGTGGAGTGAACTTTGCCACTCCAGTTCCAACATCAGGTTTCAGAGGCCATGGCAGAAAGGATCATACTCGCAAAGGCAAAGGACGCAGAAAGGACCGGAAACATAAAGGCAATGGTAAAATGCACAAATAAATCGCTGTAGCCTTCATGTCTCTCTCTCTCTCATGCCCACACCCACACACCTACCTACATCTACATGTATAAATATACACTATGTTAAATATTTAGTGGTAATTGTTAGCATAAGTAATTTGGTTTCAGTGATACTTTATTTTTTACTGATTCATTTTATTGTAATGACAGCTGTTATGATTCCTCCAAGCCGCCCAAATATTACAAGACTGACAGACTCATCTGTGATGGTTCGTTGGGGAGTTCCCCCAAATAATGGTCTTCCAATCCAGTTCTTTAAAGTTCAGTACCGTGAAATGACAAGGACTGGCAATTCCAGACGAAGAGGTGGTGGAAGTGGTGCCCGCAGTAGAGGACCTTCTCAGGGCAAGGGCTCTCGCTGGATGACAAACAATGAAGATATCCCACCACATATACGCAGCTATGAAGTGGATGGACTGGAGACTGACCACACATATAGGTATATTTCTGCGTGTCTCATGAGATATGTGCACCGTGACATTATTTCAAATGAATGAATATACCATTTAAGCAAGTTATACACAGGTGCTAAATGAACGTGAAAATTACAGTAGGAATGCACCAGACTCACATTTTGGAATTTACCAGTTTAGATCCTGACCAAGAACTGGCTGTCCAGACTGGGTTCCTCAGCCACTTCAATGGCATTTCAGGACTGTATCTTAAAATAAGTTATGCTGTTTCCTCTCTGTTTATCATTCTCAATTATCTCACTGTATCTCATTTAATGTTACATAAAAAGTTGATACACTGACATAAAATAATCAGTCAACTAGGTGGATCAACAAAATTTAACTCTTAGTTACCACAACTCTTGATATTTTAATATAAGTGAAGATTTCTTCAAATCTCATTATGTTCTTCTATGATGGTGGTGCAATCTTCTGTATTTTGTCACAGAATCATTTCTGCTTTTGCATAATACACGACTTTCAAAGGTGGTGTTTATCATAAACAAGAAACTGTGATGTCAGGATGTCTGGGCTGTTGCACCATGTAGTCTGGTAGAAGTTTACCAACAGTTTAAGAGGTGTTTGCTGCCTGCGTCATCATCCTGATGATGGAGGCAGCAAGAACCTCTAAAATGTTGACTAGCTGAGTGATTATTAGATTCTGAAGAATGTCACTTCTGCATGGAGTCAGAAATGACACAGGAAGCACAGTAAAAAAAACATATACAAGCAGAAATACCAAGATAAGGTAACATATTTCTGATATGCTTATCTATGTATTGTACTTTGTCAAGTTGTTTTGAGTTTATGTGTCTTTCTGTGTGTATGGGAGTGGTATAATTTGCTACATTATTTTTGTCAGATTCCGCATTGCAGCTGTCTACTCAAACAATGACAATAAGCTGGGCCCAAACTCGGCCAGGTTCCACCTTCACAAAGGGCCCTTAAACAATAAGAATCCATTGTCACCCCCAGTCCTGATGCATACAGAAGCTGTCAGTGCAACTGCAATCAGGATCTGTTGGCAGGTATGTGCTTTATAGTTTGAGTCAGTCAGCATCTGTCCTTCCTAGTGGATGATAATAAAAGTATTACAATAGTAATGTGATGAAAACAAGGATGATTATGTGACTGGGGCATGTGGGACACATGGTGAAGTTGAGAAATGCTCAAAAAATTTCAGTCAGAAAACCTGAAGGGGAGAAATGTCTTAGGAGTCTTGAGCATAGATGAGAGGATAATGTTAAAATGGGTCTTTTTAAATAAATTCAATTTTAGGATGTAGTCTGAATTTGACTGGTGAAGGGTAGTCCATTGGCAGGCTCATGTGATTGCAATAACAAACCTTTGCTTTTCATAAATGCTATTGAATTTCTTGATCAATTGTGCTACAATCAGTGTGAAAGTATATCAGAAATGACTGACATTTGTATTGTATTTGTTTTCAGTACATGAGATCAGTGGCAGTTCCTGTGGAGGGTTTCTATGTTTACTACAGGGAAACAAGCAGCGCAGGCGATTATATTAAGGCAACAGTCGAGGGCGAGGCACAGCGATCATTTGTCATCACACACCTTCAGCCAGACACATCATATGACATCAAACTGCAAAGTTTTACTGTGGGGGCAGCCTCTGATTTCAGCATCATTCTCACACATAAGACTTTGCGTTAGTATCCGTTGTTTTTCTATAATATTATTTGTTTTGTTTGCTTTTATTGAAACTAACAGCAGGCAAGGCTAAATGATATCTTTGCATGTGTCATTGGATTATCTGTGCTAATGTTTTTCTTTAATTTTTCATCAATTGTTTATATGACTTGGCTTTTGCGAAGATGAGGATGAACTTTCAGGTTCCATAAAACACATTGATTATTAGCTTCTCAAAGAGGATTGTTTTTCTTATAGTTGGTTAGTTGAATGTGCTAACAGTTTATAAAACTGCAAGTTTTCATATATGCAGGTACCTGTAAAGCAAACTTTTGTCTTTCTGTTGCTTTTCTCCGTACAGTGTTTCATTTATTTATTTATTTTTTTAGAAAAGCACTGTAATACAGTAGATACAGTATCTTATTCTTGTCATGTTTTATTAATCTTTCCAGGTGTTCTGACAGAAACTCCTCCTTTGGCACCGGAAGTGGTGAGTCCTAATATGGCTGTGGGAGAATCGTCGAACACGCAGCTGTACTTAGTTCTGGGCGCTGTTCTTGGTGGTCTTCTGTTGCTGGTCATTCTTTTCCTTATCATCTTCATTTGTAACAGGCAAAGGAGTAACAGTCAGTCTTCTCAAGGTGAATTTGCCATCATTAGTTCAAAGAATCTCCTTTGCACAGAAAAATAACTGCACAGAGTATAATTTGTTTTTAATATCTCATGAGTATTTATGGTTGTCTTCCATGATAATGTGAGAATCTGAAGTAATAGTGTTTCAGTTATTGTATTTGTGGTGAAATATCAAATTTTCCACACTTTGTATAAGTATTTGTTTTCTCATCCTCGATCTCCACATTGTTTTTCATCCTGCGTATCTAGAAAGTGAATTTATGAATAGTACTGGTTATGAATATTAATAATAATTGTGTTGGTATATTATAGACCGTTTTCAGTTTTTTATATTAATACTGTATGAGTAATCGGTTATAGATTTTGAAAGTGTAAGTTTGCTTTTAGCATCATTTTAATTATGTGACCGTCATCATTTCTCAGCCTGTATTCCAGGCGAGTCCCAATCATATCTGCATGATCTTTATATGATTTTACAGTTAAGGGGTAGTAATGATGTTTTATGTATCTTTTTATTTTTATTGTGAATGCTTGACAGATGCAAATGAACATCAAGACAAATTCAGTGACCCAGCATTGCAGTTGGAAACTGTGAATGTGTTTGGACTGAATAGTAAGAATCTCTTAAATGGTTGTATGGTGCAAAATGGTTTTCTGCAAAATAATAGGATGAATATCACAAGCAACCCTCTGGCTGAGACTGATGAGGATAAGGTAAGAAGATTTGTAGTTCTGCATATGAATGTATTTATTATGAAATTATTTTTGTGTCTGAGGGTATCTTGTATTTTAGTATTGCTGATATTTTTGGATCAAAATTTTTGGTTTCTCACTAGGTTTTATACTCTGATAAGTAGAATTTTGTGCCTAATATTGACTTGTCCTACTGTAATTTCACATCTGATTGTATGAAACGTGATAGAACCTGATATAGCAGTAAAACAGACTGTAACAAACCAAAAATGTACTCATACTGCAGGGCAGACAGATGTCAGCAAGAAGCATACGATCATAACCAAGGGCATTTATAAGAAATGAAGTATCATTTCTGCTACTTGTGACAAGACAAATTTAGTATTAAGCATTATAATCGAGGGTGATAGAGCACCATACCATTTTGTTTCCACCAGGTATAAAGACAAATTCGTAAAATATTTAGCTGTAAAAAGACTTCAACATTAATAATAAAACCTATTCATGTAAGAAGCCATCTTCAGTGCCTCAGGAGAGAAATGTGTTAATTCTGGTAAACAGCTATAGATTTACCAAATCTTTGCTGCTTAACAAAAGTGATTTCTGTTCACTGTCTTTGAGTAACTAACATACAGTTTACAAAGACACTTCAATTTGAATAAAATCACGAGGGTGGTTCAGAGTAAGAAAGATAAACGTGCACAGATACAGTACATATAATCACAAACAGTTGCATATGTGACATGGGGAATGAGGAAGTGTTAAGTGTTTGTGTATCCATAACTCAGTTTTGAGATACAAAGAAGTAAATGTAATTAATGCACCAGCTGGTACTTGCTGCAGAATTTTTCATAATTTTTGTTTTGTCGCAGAACCAAAATGTAATGGAGATGGCATACTTGTCGAGGCAGAATAACAACTGTTCTGCAGGGAGTGAAGCTAGTGCCAGTGCAAGTGGTGCTAGTACATCAGGTGATGAGGGTACTCAGCCAAGCCCATCTAAAGTCAACGTGAGTGAAGCCACAAGTTGGCGAGTAGTAGCACCGGATAAAGCTGCGGAAGAAAACTATGTCTGATGTACACGGTGCATTACTTGGCACTAATACACTGTTTAAACAGTGATGTGAGTAAAATTTTATTTTTTGTGATATAGAAACTTGGTCCATGTTGGTCACTGTTTGGCAGTTTTTATTGGCCTTGTGAGAACTCACATACTTTCCTTGCCAAGTGAGGTGCCTGCAAATTAATGTATTTATTTTGCTTTGTCTGTGTTATAGCCCACTAGTCATAATATAGCCACAGTTATTTTTTTCTCCATCTGTTCCTAATACCCAAGTTATCCTCACAAGTGGTCCATTATTAAGCCAGTTGAATGCATTTATTGATGTCAGTAAAGGCAGCAATATGCTGACGGGTTTATGTTCTTATCCTGTATTACCTTTACAGTAGATGTAAAGGAACTGGTATATTTTAAAGAAAACGGAAAGATTTTTAGTTGCTAGGTCGCCTTATTTATTATAGTTTGCAGGCACCTGCCACCTTATTTGTACTTATAGTGCACATTGTGGATGTTGGTGCAATTGAAAGTCATAAAAATAATTTACAGTCTTACAGTAACATACAAAATTATACAAGGTTGTAAATTTTCTTTCTGTGTTTAACAAATATAGTTGTTTGTTAATTTTTGAGAGTATATGCACAAGTTATAACATTACATTTAAATTTACCAGTTAAATATAGAAAGTAGTACTTTTAATTGCATCATGTTATAGCGGAAACTTTACTGTCCAAGATAAACATTTGATATTTATATTAATACGAATTCTTCTTTATTTGTGTTTCCAGTCAGAAAACTTAAATTAATTATAGTATTTTCTTCAAAAAATTTCCTCAATTTTAAAATGCCATCAGTTGTAAGACATGCCCTTGATTTAGTAATAGGATTTTAACTACTGTCAAATTTCATTACTGTGAAGCACTGGGGACCAATCATTTTGGACTTTGAATGGAATGGTTTTCTATTATATAACTTCCACTGCCTCCACCGTCTGCTGGGTATTGTATAGCATTCTCAACATATGAACAGTATACAGGAATGGTATTGGGAGTGAGTGAGTGGTGGTTGGTAATTAGGATACTTGCATTAAGTTATGGAAGAATGTGACAAGATATGATATATATAGAGGAATGTGCATTTTATAATGTAAAATTATTCATTTGATCTGCTGACTAATGATAAAAGTCAGAAGAACAGCAGCCTTGATGTTAGGGATTCTGAGGAGAGCTGCGGGTCTTGGGATTAAGACACTGAAGTCTATTAGGGAGGATTGTGGGTTCAGTCGCCAGTCAGACTTGTGCCCATGGATTTTCTGCTCACAGATTGAAACCTTGATGTCTACCAAAAATAAAACTTAGCGGTTATGAAGAATGCCAGTCATCATCATGGTTCAGAGATCACGTTAAGCAGTATGTCCCCTTTACCAACCATCATTCTGTCACTGTCACTGGAAGTAACAGTATCCATCTTATTGATGCTCCGACTTTAGAAATGGATTCTATGCCCTTGCCTAGATGAGCAGAAGCTAAGGTCATTATAGATCATACCTGGTATCATTAGGTAAAAAGAAAGAATATGAAGGATTTGAGAGGTTGCTGGTATTTTTCTCAAGAAGTCAGCCATTTTCCTTTTCATTTATGCTGTTAAAAGTCTGGAGTATAATATGAAATTTATATTTCTGTAATATTTAAATGTTGTTTAACTTTGCTATTATGAGCTGGGATAGCTCAGTCAGTATAGTGACTAGCTACAGGCTGGACGATTGGAGTTTGATCCCCAATGGCGCAAAGGATTTGTCTTCTGGCCTCTTGTGTCCAGACCGGCTCTGGGGTCCACCCAGCCTCCTATCCGGTGGGTACTGGGATCTTTTCCCAGTGTAAATCATGGCCAGGGGATGATGCTGACCACTCACCCCATCTAGTGTCAAGGTCAAGAATGAGTAGGAGCTATACCACCTCTCCCCCCAAGTGACCTACATGGTGTGTACCAGGACTGCTTTACTTAACTTTGCTATGATTCTGTGAAGCACTGTTCCTTGTTTTGTGTCTTCATGATGTTGTGTTGTATGAGGGATAATTGTGAAACTAAATCCACCTTACACCAGTCATTTTTCATGGTCTTATATGTTTGTTTTGTAACCCAGAGCTTGGATAGTTTAGTTTCTCTTGAATTGTTGAAGATTCATTCACAGGAAAGGATCTGAAACGCATATGTGTGTAATCTATATACTGCCCCATTGTTGAATTTTGTAACTAAATGCCGCAGGTTTCAAATCTGCATCACTGTTCCAGTTGAATTATAGGTAAGTAGCTCAGTGCAGGCAGCTTTGTGTGTGTACAGTGTGACAGCAAGTATGTGGAATCTCTTATTTCATTAACAGTGCACTTGATGACTTCCAATGTACAAGTAATTCAAATCATGTTTTGAATTTTCCTAATGAGATTGTTACAAGGCCTTATTTCCAGCTATTCATATATTCAGGCAGGTGGATGGCAACATATTTAAATAGGTTTGTGCAAACAGTTCATTATACTGATATAGTTTTAGTATGAAATGTTTTCATTTGGATGAATTCATTGTTTTAAGACAAGGCCAGAAAATATTTTCAGACCTTACTGTTCCATTGCATACTGGTGTTCTTAAAGATGTCAGTGTGTGGAGTGGACCGCTTAATGTATGCGTAAGGAATCACCATTTCACGAAGTTACAACAGTATTCCTCTTGAATGAGCATCACACAATTCCTTCTGATCAGTGCCCTTTTGAGGAACTACAAGAACTTTTTACAGTAGTGGTGGACTATTTTATATGGGAGTTATTTTAGAAGAGACTTTTTAACTTGATGACTCCAAAGGCTAAGATTTATATAACTTCACATTGAACATAATGTGCCCATCAGTTCTTATGAACTGTGAATGTAGTTATGTCTCCATGTGTTGAAATTCAAAACAAGTAGATATTTGAATGTTTTGTATGGCAGTTCTCTGTCATGTGTGGCTGTTAATGTTACTGTATCAACTACCAGTGTTCTGCAGCATCATATGATATAAGAATGTTTGTGAATGCTGAATTGAGAGACATATGTGAGGCAACATGAGCCGGGATAGCTCAGTCAGTACAGTGACTAACTACGGGCTGGACGACCGGGGTTCGATCCCTGACGGGGGCAGAGGATTTTTCCTCTAGCCTCTGCGTCCAGACCGGCTCTGGGGCCCACCCAGCCTCCTCTACAATGGGTACCGGGGTCCTTTCCCGGGGGTAAAGCCGGCCGGGGCGTGATGCTGACCACTCACCCCCATCTAGTGCCGAGGTCAAGAAAGAGAGGAGCTATACCTCCGCTCACCCCATGGCACGTAGCGGAAGAAACTTTACTTTACTATGTGAGGCAACAGTCAAAGTGTCTATTAAAGGTACTATTTTGATTTTCATCAGGTGGGACACAGGAAGACCACAATACCACTTAGTCGGGATAGGTAATTCCTAACTTACGTTTAAACTTTGAGTCTCTTGAATGCGAGTCGGATTGATTACCACTGATCCAACTCACTGTGCTAGTGGCACATTTTCAGGGATGCAGTGGAATTTTAGGTTCTCATTTCTGCTTAAATCTCTGAGTTTCTGTGTTTTTCTTAGGTTGTATAATGATGCTGAATCAACTACTTAGGTTGTGTAACATTACATGCATAATAACAAAATGATTATGAATGAGAAATTAAAATATTATGGAGATTCAGTGGTTGTAGCCTATTTAAAGCAAAAAATCATGAAATTATAACTGTATAGGAGTTGAGCTGGATGTTTCCCAGTTATAAAGTAGAAATGGCAGCCACTGCACTCATGATAATCATGTAAGCATTCAAGATTGCCTGTTAATATTAATACACATTTATAGAACAATGGGAACTTGTGATTCTAAAATGTAAAGTGCAAAGGGCAGTAAAATAATGAATGTGACTAGAATGTTTGAAGTTTCAGCATCCATTAGCCTTCCTATTGCTAGTATCAACCCACTCATCTTTCAGCATTGTCTATAGATCACATCAAATTCATTTCTGTCACTTTACGTGAAACAACACGCTTTCTCAAGCTTATTCTGTTATCTGAGCAATCAGATAACATATTTTGGCAAAAGGTTAAATGATATGGTACATGAGCTGAGATGTTGAAAACTTTCTTTGGTATGTGGTATCTGTGTTATCAAAATTATTAGGCCTTTGAAATTTAATTATTATGTGGAACTTCTAATTTCAGAAATTCTGGACATGTTTTCTGTAAATAATGAACTATTTGCACTTCCCTAAGTTTTAAGTAGACTTTTAAATAAGATATGATAAATGTGACATCTTGTCATATGAGTGTTTAAAATGTACGGCCAAATGGAGACAGAATGATGATGATGCTGTTGTCTCTCTCTGATCACAGCAGTTATAATTTATTTATGGTCTTAACGTTTTTGACAATTAGGTCTATAATTTTGCTTAAATAACTTTACTGCATCATGAGAATCTTAACAAACATGTAAAGTAAAAATGCAAACAGGATTACTTGAATAATAAATCAAATACTGGAAAAGTAATCACTGACTACCTGCTAACTACATAATGATTAAAAAATTCCTTGAAGTCAATTCTTAATGCATTGGTAAATAACTTCTGTCCTTTAATGTTCTTATATAAAAATTCTTATGCTCTGCCTTTTGCAAAGAATTTTTTCCCCCTTTTGAGGTGAGCACTAGTGGGGCCTTTCTGATTACTTGCTTTGCAAGTCCAGAAACTCTTGCCATGACACAGTGTCGGTATTTTCAGATATTTTCACATTTTTTAATTGAAGCTAATACACTATATTAGATCTGTCTTATTTTGAACTGTACATAATTTGTATAAAATACAAGTAATATGGTTGTGTGAAAGAAAAAATATCTTAGACTGTAATAGTAAAAGTGCCAGAAAACAAAGATTTATATATGTATATTTTGCATAATGATCTGTAGATAAGTTTAGGATTAGGCATGAATGATGTAGTTATAGTTTTTAATAGTAAGCTGAAATGCAGAATGCAAACCTGTGCAATGCAAGGAATGAGTGTCCAGGTGATGCCAGACAGCAAGTGTTAACTGTACCATTGGCAGAAATTTGAGGACCCAATACTTGTTCCATCCTTTCACTTTATTCAATGTTTCTCAAATGTGTTCATGACGGAATGTAATATATTTAAATATTAGAAATTAATTATGGGATTGTTATAACAAATTCAGTATTCTAATATGGATCCAGTTCTGGTTGATTTCACTGTGTATATGCAGGCAGTATTGCCACCATTTCAGAGATAACATCTTCATCTTCAATATAAAGTAATCATCCAGTGGCCCCTATTATGTTGAGTGGTAATCAATTGAAAGTGGTACATAATAATGTTCTTTTTTTGCTCCTCTTTTTTCATATTTCAACTTTCCCCCCATGCAGAATTCCCACATCCTTACATCCTACTCATCCAAGTGGGGTGAAGGAGGAAAGATAGTGTCTGCCTTTAACGTTACGGACTTCCTGCATTCCTTGCAAGTCTCAAGATTACAGTCGTGGACTTTATCAACAGAGGCCAGTGGATGGTGACTTGATCTTGAAGGTGGAGACAGTAAGGCTTATCAGAAATGTTAGCAGTACAGTCTGCATCTGCACAATATCATCACCCAAAAACAGGATCCTAATTAGCATTGACAGTGGTGAAATCTTGTAAATGATATTATGTGTGAAAACAGAAAGTCACATAATTTTAAACCAATATATTTTGTAACTTACAGAGAATTAACTATAGGTTGTGTTTTTTAGATATTTACATTATAAGAATTATGATGATAAATCATATGTTTAGATACTTGGTACGCTGGTATGCTTGAATTTCAGACATACACAGTACTTTGTATGGACAGCAATGTCAACAGACTGTTTATATATAATGCATATATATGCATACACATATGCACATACACGCGCACACACACACCTATATATAAGCTGTGCTCTTCTTTGACCAACCCTTTGTTTATTGTGGTCTTCTGGGTTTATCCTGAAAATTGCTGTTATATGTCTGTCTGAAATGCTGATCGATGCCTACAAGACTACATAGTATCACAGTCTGTATTTTCATCACTGTACCCTTTACCCTTTATGTTTGTTGTTTCCTGTGTGGTGCTTTGGATGTAAAATAATTTTTATGAATCTGTCACAAAACTTAATTTATTGCAATTATCTTTGTCACTTAGTACCGCATTATTTATTGCAGTTTCATAATAGCACTTTTGCCATTCTGTTCAAGATATAATTCAGTATTAGTTATTGTGGAAGGTGTTTGCTGAGGCAGACAGTTGGTAACTATTGCCATATTATGAAATCAAAACATGTGTTAGGAATGGAATGAATGATGGGTCCATCTACTGCTGTTTCTTGTTTGCTAGAGTATTCAAGTTGTGTTCAAGATTCCAGTTTGGATGAAATGTTTTAATACGTGTTTTATCTTTTTATGTTATATGTGCAATTGTCATATTCCACACCTGAAGGCCTGTCTCAGGTTACCTGTCAATATTTATGATATTATTTGTTGAGTTGACTGAATATAATAAACAATCAGTCAGTTTGGGTGTGCAACCACTCTTCTGCACTTCACTTCACAATTATGGCTACAAATGCAGCTCAAGCCATTCAGTTCAAACTTCATGTGTTTTCCTTGTGATTACTAAAATTATTAAAACTTATAAACTTCAAATACAAATACAATTTTAGGGTGTGATACTCCTGTATTCTATAGAAAATTGATGAGGAACTTCATAAATTTTATCCTTAATCATATATTATTATGATGAGCAAATCAAAGAGGATGCCATGAGTGGAATGTGCAACATGCATGGGTAAATGAGAAATACATACAAAATTTTAGTTGGCAGAGACCATATGAGAGACCTGGTTGTAAATGGGAGGATAATATTTACTACACCCCTGTCAGTTAGGGATGACTGATTACAGAAGATTGTTTGTATGGCACAGATGGGATACTGGTTGCAAAGAAATAGGGATTAATAAAAATGTTTTTAAGAAAGGGGATAGAAGTGTCAGATGTTTTAATCTTATGACTCCAGGCTATGAAGTGTTCACGAGAATAATAAATAAATAAAAGATTTCAAACTGTATAGGTATCAGGATATTTATTAATGTAACAACAAAGAAGGAAAGCTGGAACAACAGAAATGAAGTTTCTGTGGCAGGTGCTTGGACATAACCTCTACAACCACGTATATGCTGTTTGTAATGATTTGAAAAAATTCTTAATTTAGAAGGAAGAATCCAGAACAAGAATAAATAAGTAACATAAATATATACTGTAATTGGAATCGAATATGATAACCCAGAGAATTTTAAATATAAGCCTACCAATAGCATAAATGTAGGACATTATAACACATGTAACTTCCAACAATTATCTTGGCTAATAGGAAATGTTATCTCATGGAGACAATTTTTCTTATTTATGAATCAGGAACAATGGCTACACTCCTAACATTCTTTATTCAAAAAGTGTTGTATCTTATTGGATTATTAAGAAATATAAGAATCTAATTTTGTTGCCTCTGTTTGTCATGATTTTACAAGTAGTGTTAAGGGCTCATATTTTATATTTATAAGTTGTACTACCAATTCTTTCTTCCACTTCATAATATAGGTATTAATATGTGGGTGTCTTTAGTGCATCACTGTGATATAGTATATATCAACTAGATTTAATTTAGTAATTAATTTCTTGTACTGTTTTCAAATGCAGTTTTATAAACATATGTGCTAATGAATGTTTATAATAAGGTTACAATATTAGGAGAGTAGCAGCAACATGGTGAGTAATGAACGTTAACATCTGTGAATTTATTTCTGCTTATAGTTTAATTCTCTTTCTGATTTCATAATTTAAATTTGGAGAGGTGTAATAAAACAGTTAAGTGTAGTGTAGTTTAGTGTGTGTATGTGTGCGTGTGGACACGTGCGCATGCATACATACATTCAGAAGTATTTCAGAAGAAATGTTTGGTTATGTATGAATGAAAAATTGTGGTTGTATGACATACACATTCTTTTTAAAGTGAAGGGTGTCAGGCACCTGACAAGTGGCTGGTGAACTGAACTAGCATTTGTTCAGAATATTTTCCATCCTTTTAAAAATTTGAATATCTCAGTCATTATGGAAGATAAAGAATTACTGTTCCTGAAGAATAAGTACCATTCTTACAAGTTTTCCATTATTACTCTTTGAGTGACCTGTTAAAACTTTTAGGTTAGGTTGCCACATTAAAATATTTATATAGGTTACTAGTGAAATAGGTACATTAAACTCAGTGGAAAATTATTGCTTTTGTACCGCTACCACCTCTCCTGTATCCATTTTGCACCTTGATCTTCACTTTGTTAAAACATAAATATTTAAATAAAATTTTGTATTGGCAACAAAAAATGTTAAGCTGACACATTTTGTTGAAACATATTATACCAACAAACATTTTTCCACATATGTTTGTATCTTCATGCACAAACTACGTATTGTTAAATGAACTGGAATGTAATTATCAATAAATGGAAACTAGTAGAAGTTGCAGGTACTGTTGTAGGAAAATGTATATGCATAATGTAACATGGGGTGGTTGCCTTGGTTCAGTGGTTATGACAACATGCAAGTTTTGACATGTGGTAGATTGTAAACAGCTGTGAAGGTGCTGGAAATACCAGGTGTGTATTGGGTATTATTAAACAAAGAAAAATTTGTATAATCTTGATTTCACATATATTCATGTGTTTTAAGAAATTTTATTTACTTACATGTCTCCCCTTGAAGTCAGTCATAAGAAATTTACACTCAGGATGTCTTGCTACAACTTTAAAATTCTCCCATTATTTCCAATTCTGTTTCTAATTCAAGAGCTACAGTAATAGTTGTATTTCTGTGCAATAGCAGATAAAACATAAGTAGTGATGTCAAAACACATGAATTGTGACTCTGAAGCCATTGTTTTTATTAGTGAACAGGAAATGAGAATGTTAGTGGATAAGAGAGATTTGGTACTTTTATAGAGCATTAAAACTGAAAATTACTAGGACTGTCATGATTAGTTTAATAATTCATGTAATATATCTTGAATCCACAGACATTTTTCTTATCACTTAACTGGTTAAGGTATGTGACCCTATGTTAATTGTTTATAAACCTTTGAATGCTAAATGTAGCTTAAGTAAGATGTAAAATATTTACTGATATTTTTGTGCCCAGTATATGTCTTATTGTATTAGAAATGTTTTATTGCACATTCTAAGCCTAGTGTCAAAAACTCCATCCATTGGTGTGTGCGTGTTTGTTTGTTTGTGTATATGTGCATTGCCTTGTTGGAAGTAACTTAAAAACAGTTTCTATTCCAACTTTGTCCAGTTCATTTACTGTGACTGATAGTGTCATTTATAATTCAGATAATGAATTACATGACAGTATATCGATTAATTTACTGGGGCAAATAACTGCAACAATTTACTGATTAACTGAAGGAGGTTAATTACACAACAGCCCTGAAAAGCATCTCTTTGCCTTCCTATCTTTCTGTTTCACGATTGACAGAAAGATCTGAAATACATGTGTATTTTTTAAACTGAATGTTAATCAGATTGTATATATTTTGTAACAGTGACTTTTATAATGATTTATTTATAGAATACTAATTTTTTCAAGTCTTTATTGTAATGGTGTTTCCTTTCATTTAGTCCCTTAAGCAGCAATATTGTGGTGAGTGGTTAGCACTTCTGTTCATATTCGGAAGGATGGAGATTCAAATCTCAGCCTGGACCTGGCATATCCAAAATATGTAAATGATTGGGCCAAGAACTATCTTACAATACTTTTTTATTAGATCTTACTGCTAGGCAAATACTGAGCTGATAGCTTGAATATGTTGCTTTCTCCCACAACCTTTATTATTTATCATTTGTAATAATCCTACTATTCAGTGGTATGAGACTAGTGCCATTAAGAAGGGGTCATTTAACTAATAATTCTTCAATATCATAAGAAACAACAAACATTTGTGATCTCACTTCATGTATTTGGGTTGCTTAGGATAGTATAGCAATTTAATTCATTATTATTATTATTATGCTGATGTCTTATTTCTGACACTGAAGAGAACTGAGAGTGGGTAGTCCTACAATGTGCTTTTTTAAAATGGTCAAGTTCATCCTGGGGATTAGAGAAAAATGAATTGGTTATGTTTTTAAGGAAGCTTTCAGTTGCTAAGATTATACAACTTGACATGATGGGACAGTGATCAATGGATTGTATGGGTTTGATAGGAAGTGGTTGTGGCATAATTTCTGGAATTTTCCTGAGGGACTGGAGAAAACTATGAATGCCTCAATATCTGTTCTCTGACAAGGACCCCACCGCAGTCTCTAACCATGTGGTTATTTTATTTTAAATGTAAATTGATTACATAGGTTTTTCACATATGTATGCTTTGGATAAGAAATGAACAATTTGGGTAGTTGCCTTCTACTGTTCATGGTCAGTCCAGCGACCCCGCCGATGGACTGGATATTATGGATTACCTACAGAGACGTTTCCTGTAATGAGGTCTTCAGAAGTCTATTTTAGCAATGTTTATGTAGAGGTGGGAAATTTCAAATAGCCTGTTTAAAGGTCAATGTTTGGGAACTTAACAATTTTATATATTTTTGTTTATATGTAGGTGCTACTTTCACCATTTAGAAAATAATTGCTTAAGTGGTCTGTAATTGCGATTCCTGGATTAGAGTATTACTTCGAAAAGATGGATCGGGGGGGCGTAATGTTCGTATTGCTGGGATCATTATGTCACAGTAATTGAATTTCAAGAGGTCGTGCTTGAGGTATGAACTAAGTTGGATTTCAGGTTTTAAAATTTGGCTTCCAACTAAAGTTACTCTTTACGAAATTATGTGTAAACGGAACGAACTAATCCCATGAAGTAACCAAGTACACTTGTCTGACACTGATATCTTATAATCTGTGCTAGGTAGGTTATCTATGCTCCTGGCAGTAGGTTGTGGTTATGTTGGAGCAGAGGGTCATTGTTCGAGATGACCGAAGCTGATATTTATAATGTTTCTAAAATTAAATATATAAACCTGTTGGACGTAATGGCCTGCACCTATAAAATGTGCACAAAAGTAACGTGTCTTTGGTTATCACAATGAGGAACAAACAATTATGGCCTGTATAGTACTTATGGCATTTATAGGTGACCGTGGCCATGAACGTGCGGTTCAAGCTGATTTCGAACCAATGCAAAGACCAGAAAGAAATTTCATCAAATTTGAAGTATGAACTACATGAATACAATCCAAAATTTATGTAGTTTTATGGACTTACGTTGTTTATCAACCCGCAAGTGATCAGCTGATGCCAAACCAGATGAGTAGTGGTGTTTAACGTAATGTTTTGGTAAAAGTAGAGACGTGATTATGGTGTATCCTGTAATTTTTTATATCAGTGTTCATATTTGTACTTTTGATGTGCATAATATTTTTTACTGGAAATGCCTACTAAGCTGCAAGATACGCTAACTACCTGTTCCTTCTTCCACCTAGATTAAAAGTAGACCTGTTGCATCTTTATTAAACAAAACCAGTTATGACTGTTTCAATATCCAAATGAACTTTTGTTATTTATTTTAATATTGAATAACATTTCGAGAATTTAACAGTATTTTGTGTATTTTTCTGACTACTTTTGGATTATCGCTGCTTTGGCCTGTATGCTGCTAACAAAGGGAAATTATGAGGTTCTGCACGGCATGAAAAGACCAAACCAGAACATACTGGTACTTTCCATATTTCTTGCTATCTGTATTATGGTGTTCATTCACATATTCTTGTTTCCATTGTATGATACAATGCCAAAGAAGAAAGAAATTAAATTTCTGGGAGATTTTGAACAGTCATTATGTACTACAAACTTAAAGCCAGCTAAAGTTCCTCTGTCCTGGAAGCATCATTGTCCAAAGGATGGAATAGTAACTGTTGCACAAGGTGGACGTTTAGGAAATCAAATGTGGGAATATGCCTCAACATGGGCTGTAGCCCGTAGGACTGGTTTAGAGCCTTATATTCCCCGTTGTATATATAAGGTGCTGGATGAAGTATTTGATGATCTAAGTATCCCTCCATTGAGCTATGTATCACATTGCCCTGCTAAGTGGGACAGTGTCATCAAGTCCCCAGAATTCTGGAGCTATACAAATCAGAGCATTCTCTTACCACGCTTTGCAGTTCTACCAGATTTGGTCCTTACTTGGGCTGATGATATCCGGCATGAGTTCCGGTTCAAACGGCGTTTAATTGAAGCAAGCCAGAAGGTTCTGGTAACTGCAAGGCAACTGCTGAATAGAACTACCTTAGTTTATGTTGGTATTCATGTTAGGAGGACTGACTACCGTGACTATTTGTGGCGAACACATAGAATGTTTCTAGCAGATGCACACTTTTTTATTGAGGCTATGAACTATTTTCGGAAGAAATTTAGTAATGTTGCATTTCTGATTGTGAGTGACGATCCTGGTTGGTGTCAACAGAACCTCTTGAAGGGTCACAGTGATGTATTTGTGGTGAGTAAAGGTGGAGTCACTAGTCCAGGTCAAGACCTTGCTGTTATGGCAGCCTGCAATCACTCGATCATTGATTATGGCACTTTTGGAGTATGGGGTGCCATTCTGGCCAGTGGTGAAACTATCCTTTATAATATCACCAGGCATTCTTCAATCCGTGTGTCTGAACTGCTGCCAAATTGGCATGTAATGTATTAAAATATAAATTTGATTGTGATTGCCAGTATCCAACTTTTGGTTGTGATCTGTATCCACACTGTTAAGGCTGAAAATGTGTTCTAATTCATTATTTTTTCTATAATGTATTTAACATTTTAAAATTGAATTATTGGCATATTGTTGCAGTTTCATCTAAACACATCTGACATGCTGAAGAAATTAAATTCTCATGAATCTGAGCTTTGAATGAACCATTTTTGTAGAGTCAATGTTTGAACATACCTTATAGAATGAAAAGGCTCCATTTTAAAAACTTTGTTGAATGTGTTCTCTAATGTGTAATGTGTATATTTTTATCATAAATATTAATATTACAGGGCCAAATTGTTCACATACCCCAATTTTTCTTAAACTGATGTTAAATGGTTTATTCTTACTTGTATCTGTATAAATATTAAATTGTACGTATATTACAGAATAATACTTGTGAACATTATTTACTACAGCAGTGCCTTATGAATTACAGGACTTAATGTCTTGAAAAACACTACCATGACAAAACAGTTCTTAGAAAAAAATTCAGGGACTAGGGGAACCATGACTGCAATTAACACTTATCACAGCCTAAGTGTATGCAGAATTTTAGTTGCAATACCTGAAGAGAAAAGATCACTTGGAATACTTATATGAAGGTGGGAGGATAATAATTGATTTCCTTGATTTTAAGATGGCATCAGATGTAAGACGCATGCTTAATTTAGTAATAGGTTTTCAGGAAAAAGAGAAAATACGATAAATCGATTTTTAAACACAATCAAATTTTAAAATGGGTAAAAAAGGTCTTAAAATTAAGAAAATAAAGTATTAAAATTAATGTTTAAATTAGGTATATGTCAACTGGATTCTGGCCATTATAGTCATGCCCCCTGAAAATGTAAATCTCTTGCAACAAAATTTACCAAGTGTTTTCATATGTATCTAAATTAAAATATTCAGATACATAGAAGAGTTAAATACAAATGGAAAGCCACAGATACTTGAAGTGCATATTTGATGTAGGATTCTACACCCTTGCTGAATTAGGCCAGGGTCAGGAAGGTCTTCATATAGACTGTACCTGGAGTTATTAGATACAAACAAGCAGTAGGCTTAATGCTGTGATAACATTATCAAGTATGTTGTCATTATTTGGACTGTCCAACATAGGCTGATTGTGATATCAATCACTGTTTATTTAATGGTTGCAAAGTTTGGGAGAAACTGATGGTACATGAGGACCATAAAACTTTGTTATAAGGGGTTTTTAATCTCAAGAAGCTAAACAGTCAAAATTGTGAAAAGGTATCATTAAAACCTCAAACAGTTTAGCAATTTGGAAAACTTGGATGTTAATTTGGACATCACTAGAGCTTGAGAGTCTAAATCAGTATAAGAAACTTAGAATTGTTTAGTCTAAGAATTCTTAAAATTATCATCAGATTGAAGCATGCTGAATGGAATTAAGTAATCAGCTTAGTTTCAAAGTGAGATTTCAGGTTCTCATGGCAGTAAGTATGAAGATAGCTATCTTTTGGGATTTGTGCCAGTAAGTCCTCATTGTCATGATGAGGAAGCAAGCACCTCTGGAGCTTTGGTAAACTTCAACTAGACCACATGCAGGGACGGTGAAGGGGGTGGGCAAAGTAGGTGATGGCCAAGGGCCTGATGTGCCTCATACATTTACTGTTACATATTGGAATTGAAAAATTAAGTGGGTCAGTTATAGAATTTTTGAAATGAAATTACAGTGCAAATGTAAGTAACAAAGATTTAGGTGAAAATTAATGTGAAGAGATAGTAGAAGACTTGTGTGAATCAAATCAGGTGAGTCAGTTCTAGAAAGATAGTTTTCAAATCATTGAAATCATCTAGAATGCCTTTCATTATTTTTTTTTTCACAAGGGGCTTTGCTAATCAAGCTTGTACAGGCCCCCGCGATTGGCTCCATCACCACTGTTAAAAAAGTACCACTGTGGACAATGCTCCAAGTACATACTTTTCATGCAGATATGTCCATCCCTTCCTGAATAATTACATGGCCACCGATAGATTGCAGAACAACCCCGTTGGTTGAACGACTGTAAAGGGAGATGACTGAATGGGCTCATAACGCGTTATTTGTTTACTATAATGTGCAAAGAACATTAAAAACAAATATTTTTGACTAGCTGTAAAAATTGTAAGATTTTGTTTCATGGAACAATCAAGGGAAGTCCATTCACATATATGCTAATGAGGACAACTTAGGGTCAAATATAATACAATTTCTTTATGCAAGTCATCCTGATGTATGGGAGTCAGGGCAGCTCAATCAGTATGACTGACTACGGACTGAATGACAGTTCGATCCTCAACAGGATTTTCCCTCTAGCCTCTTAGTCCAGATGCGCTCTGTGGTCCACCCAGCCTCCTGTCCAATGTGCACCAGGGTCCTTTGCCTGGGGTAAAGTATGGCTTGGGTTTAACGCTGACCACACACCCTTATATAGTGCTAAGGTTAAGAATGGGTAAAAACTTTTCCTCATCTCTCCCCAAGCACCTCCATGGTGTATAGCGTGGCAGCTTTACTTTTTTTGTTACATCCTTATGTACTCACACACAGGTGGCCTGACTCATATTGTAACCGAGTTCAAAGATTAATGGAGTGTCAACAAACTCAAAAAAAGTATCAAAATTAGGTTCAGTGTACTGACAGTAGATCCTACAAATGGAATAAGCACCGTGATAATATTAAGAGCAGACTAAATTCAGCCAGTTCCTACATGATTATATTCAGTTAAAAATTGTTTAGGCTAATGCTAGGTTATTTAGAATATCACAAACCTGCTCCGTATGAAATTGTTAAAAACCAACAGTTCACTTTTGAATATGGCCTCGTGTACTTAAGCACCAGCAATGACATCCCACACGAGCTCCATTACAACAGAAATTAATTTTCCCTGGGAGAACTGAATGTCCCTGGCGTTTGAATGGAAATAATTTTTATGTTTATGGGAGAGCAGGAAGGTTAAATGGTAGTATAGTGTTCATGTTTAGCGACAGTATGTCGTCAAAAGAAGCAATTTATACCGTAATTTATTAAAATTGAATCAGCTCAAAATGTTTGTACGATATTTATTTCACGTATACCTGTCCAAACTTATTGCCGAATGAAACTACAGATGAACACTTATTACGTCATACGTAATCCAACGATTACTTTAACCACACTCTTTTCTACCTGCAACTGAACACAACCTTGCTCTCGTACTTTTCATTATTTGTCTCGTTGTCTAGGAGAGTTCAACCATAATAAAATGGCGAGTCGTAGGTCTGTTTTAGTTGCTTCAATAGAACCACTTCCTACACCAGGTGACCCATTAAGAGAGCTTTTTGAAGCGTGCAAAACTGGGGATATTTCTAGAGTTAAAAAGTTGATATCGCCTCAAACTGTGAACGCAAGAGATACTGCAGGAAGGAAATCAACTCCTTTGCATTTTGCAGCTGGTGAGTTTTCCTTTCTCTTACTTTCATTATATTTATCAGGTGTACGGTGGGAATTTTACATGTTAGACAGTTCTTTTGTTTTGTGCTAATTTTCCTACTGTAGCTGAAAGTGTTGTATTGACAAATAAGACACTTTAGTGAAGATTTTGATTAATGATTAATTAAAAATATGACCACTTTTTTGTATCAGTTATGCGGACAGGAATATGATTGGATCAGGAAGATACGTTTCTGGATACAATATTTCTTTACCTGTCCAGTGACATTGCATTTAAATGTGTTTTTAAGAATTACATTTTGTAGTTACATGCCTGCCTACAGTATCTTGAAACTTTTGTAAACCAGTTGTTCTTTAGCATACATTATAATAAAGGGCTATTTGAATCAGTTGCTTTTTACTTCATGTTAATAGTTGGGGAGTGGAATTTAAGTCTTTGGTGAATGTCAGGTTATGGACGTCGAGATGTTGTAGAATTTCTTCTGGCTGCTGGAGCATCAATTCAAGCCCGTGATGATGGGGGACTGCACCCACTTCATAATGCATGCTCATTTGGGCATGCAGATGTTGTGCGGTTATTACTTGAAGCAGGTGCTAATCCTAACACTCGTGACAACTGGAACTATACACCCTTGCATGAAGCAGCCATCAAAGGGAAAGTTGATGTCTGCATAGGTATGTTGTGACATTTTACTTTTGTAAATCAACATTTTAGCAAGGAATGTAAAAAACCTGGGTGCATTGATAGTCAGCCAACTAAACTTTTTAAAAATCTTGTGAATAGTAATAGTCTTCAATCATAGCTCTTATGTTTTATTTGTGCTAGGGTACCTACAGTTCTTAAAATCATTTTTATTTGTGATTATATAAATTAATAACAAGAACATTAAAATTCTTAACTGTTAATAAAATATTACATCATATATCTTACTTAGATACCTCTTATTTCAAACAATAGCCTTGATGTGGCCTTAATCTTTGTTAAGTACCGTAAGTAAATAATGACACGTCTTATGATGCTTTAGCTGTGTGGCAGCATGGAGGACATGTACATATGGGGTCATAGGATTGAGTTCTGGTGAAATTAATTTTTTTCACATTATGTGAAGAATTGTTATATCAGAGTACTCTATTTTGCAAAAATCTGTAACCATGCATCACTGTATGAGCCAATTGTAAGTGGTGCTAGTGTTGATCTTTACAAGTTTCTTTGACTGTCATGTTGGTATTACCAGTTGTAGAAAATTGAAAAGTAGGTGTTATGGTAGTCCCCAGTGGCATAACGTCCATATCAAATTTCACCGAAATCTTTCTAGTGGATCTCAAGTTGAATCATTCAGAGACAGACGGACATATGTGACTGGGCCACCCTTTTATTCACACCATGCAAAGAACGCATAAAAAGTGGTTAGTTATTAATCAGTTCTTTCTTTACAACAATCTGCTTTTATGTTAGCCATAGACCCTGTAGTCCAGTTTTGTTAGCTTATAATTGACACCCCCTTGTCTTCTCAACAGCTGCGGTACATAGCACATTATTGTCATGCACATCATTTTCTAAATTCACAATCATGAACTTCATACTAATGTTGCATTTACATAATTTTTCGTTCTGAGCCAATTTTGTGTCATAAAAAGTGAGGTTATACTTTAAAATTTCAGCTCTCCTACAACATGGAGCAGATGCTAACATTCGTAACACAGAAGGCAAAACAGCCTTAGAACTGGCTGATTCTGCAACAAGGCCTGTGCTGACTGGAGATTATCGAAAAGAGGAACTGCTTGAAGCCGCCAGGTCTGGAGCTGAGGATCGCCTACTTACCTTACTAAATCCTCTGAATGTTAACTGTCATGCAAGTGATGGCCGTCGCTCAACACCTCTGCATCTTGCAGCCGGATACAATCGTAATCGAGTGGTACAATTACTACTGCAGCATGGGGCAGATGTCCATGCAAAGGACAAAGGGTGAGAATTTTGATTAATGTAGAATGTTTTATACTGAGGTCTATTTAAAATTTGTTTGTTGTTGCTGTGGTTACGAACATGTATTTTCAATTGCTTGAACATAAATATTGATTTTCAGAACCCATGGAAATGCCATTCATATGTCAAATAATGGCTGCTTCAAGTTAGTGAGTTTGTTGTTTGATGTCAAAATTGAAGGATTATTAATGATGTGTCCAGTGAGAGTAATGCTGAATTTAATAATTTGTAAAATAAAATGGCATGTTTATCATGGTGGTGATGAAATTCTAGTGTGCAGACAAATACCATCATCATATCACACTGTTAATAGGAGAGGTATAAGGTGTGAGGTTGGACACCTGAAGGATGTGAATTGGTTTATGTTGAGACTGAAGTAGCGTTTAACATGATAGAGCCTTGGTTTTCAAAATTTATGATGACTAGATGTACACATGATCAAAAGACATACTTGACTTCATTCACCGTTAAATAACATTTGATTATGGATGGATTATTGGATTTGAAGAAAGACTTGGATAATGAATTTCTTCAGATTGCATGGAAAAAATTTATATCATAAGATTAGTACACAGCTTGACACCTTCAATATCATATTTGTAAAAATAGAGGTTGCCCGATAGTTATACTAGAGAATTTCATTCTGGTTTGGATTCGGAGAGATTTTTATGTTCTTCTATCATTAGGTATAATATAAATGTTTGAATATTTTGATGCCACTACTTCTATACTAGTATCCAGCAGTTAATTGGTCCCTGGAAGGTAATTTAACATTTGTGTTTGAATACAGTACTTCAGTTTGAATAAAAAGTTGCATAATTTTATTAATTATGAAAAATATTAAAACATACCAGTTTAAGAATTGGCACTGTCGTGTCAAACACAGTGCATGTGCCATCTGATTCAACAAACATTCATATACAGTTTATGAGTTTTATAGTAGTATGTATCCAGAATTTGATCCTAGGCTATATTAAGCTCTATCTAATTTGTATCTTTTTTACAGTGGTTTGGTTCCATTGCACAATGCATGTTCATATGGCCATTTTGAAGTAACAGAAATGCTTATTAAACATGGAGCAAATGTGAATGCTATGGATTTATGGCAGTTCACTCCATTGCATGAAGCAGCATCAAAATCACGTGTTGAAGTTTGCTCTCTGTTGTTGAGTGAAGGAGCAGATCCTGCGCTGCTCAACTGCCATTCAAAGTCTGCTATCGATGTGGCCCCTACCAGGGAACTCCAGGAGAGACTGGCATGTGAGTTGAGTGCAGTCTAACATCGCTTAGATTGTTTATATGCGTTAGCGAAATTAAGAGACAGGAAAAGAAAGAATTTAGGTTGGAAGCTGCAAGGTGAATGTCATTTGAGTTCACTGCCGTGTAAAGGTGTGATATAAGTTACAGAAGAAACAAAAGTTAGCTTGAAGTAAACAGTTTTCTGGATATTATCCATCGCCCAATAAATAAAACCAATCAAATCCATGATGTTTCGGAGATGGGACTCTATCTCTGTCTTCAGGTATACGCAGTTTGGCCCGGTCAATAGAGCTAATCCCTATCTCTGGACCGTAGATTTTATTTATTGGACAATGGATAATATCCAGAAAACTGTTGCCTTCATCAAGGCACCATCGTCACAAAAGTTAGCTTACACCCTTTTCTTCAATGGGAAATTAAGTAAATATAAATGTGATTACTATGTTGTTGGTATTTATGAGTTATCCTAATGATTTAGGCAGCAAGGACTCTGAAATATTGGTAAACTTCTACCAGATTACACGGTGCAACGACCTAGAAAACAGTCATATTTGCGTTATTTTGTAATATTAATCTCTTTGTTCTGTACTCACATTGTGGAACTTGTTTCCTGCTGTGGAAGTGATGTGTAAGTGTATTCTTTTGCAGATGAATTTAAAGGTCACTGTCTGTTGGAAGCTGCACGTCAGGCCGATCCTGCTAAAGTAAAGAAATACTTGGCTCCAGATGTAGTTAACTTTAAACATCCTTATACAGGAGATACTCCATTAGTAAGTACTTTCATCTGTGGCATTGATTTGTGGAGTTATAACATAAGAAAGAATTATAATGAAAGGCCATTAAAATCTGTGTGTGTTGTTGGAATGTGAATAATGTATGAATTAAAATGTGTGTAAAATTCTTTATAGATTGCTGTAGAACTGTCAAAGTTTTGTTATAATTTATTATAGTTAAGAGTCTAGAGTGTGTTAATAATTGTGTAACATTATTTTTTGCAAACTGTGTACATAAATATTGGAAAGTATCAGTATAAAACATGTTCAAGGCTGAGTATACAATATCACTCACAAATTCAGTTTTAAACCTGCCATTACCACGTACCTGCTACTAAATGCAGGTTTTTAACCTATTTTCATGAGGGAAAGTTGGCTCGCAATATCATAATGTCTATCTCTACCTACCTCTGTATTTTGATTTGGTTAAATTAAGTCACAATTCTCAACAAAGATTAATGTATGTTATAATTGAACCTACCTTAGTGTTCTTATCCCATTTCTGGGGATGTTTACTGTTTGTACGTGAGTTGTATAATATACTGTAATACTGTTTACATTGTATAATAACTTTTTCTAGCACTGTGCTGTAAGTTCTCCATATCCAAAGTGGAAGCAGGTTGTGGAAACTCTTGTACGCAAAGGTGCACATCTAAATGAGAAGAACAAGGAATTCCTTACACCACTACATGTAGCTGCTGATAACTCTCATTATGATGTCATGGATGCCTTGCTGCGTCACGGGGCAAAGGTTAATGCCCTTGATGGCTTAGGGCAGACAGGTAGGTATTATAGAACTTTTGTAACAGCATTAGTGAACTAGATTTTAATGGCAATCTTAAAAGCCTTAAAATTGCATTTCTTTAGCTTTCTGTGTTTGAACCTCCGAAACATGGTGATTCAGGACAGTGTAAGTTGTAAGTTTATATGGGTGCAGCAGGTAATAGACAATTTTTTGTTAGGTACTGTATGCAGTACATATGAGATCTGCTTTCAGCTCTTCATCGGTGTGCTCGCGAGGACAACCTTCAGGCTTGCAGGATATTGTTATCCTATAGCGTGGATTCCAGTATTGTCTCTCTACAAGGATACACAGCTGCACAAGTAGCCACAGAAAACGTCCTAAAAATACTTCAAGGTATAGACTGCCGTATTTATCGTATTAATTTATTGAGAGATAAATTCTTTTGAGTAGTGTGGTGATGCTTGTATGAACAGTAAACCCTTGACCAAAAAGCGAACTCCAGTTTGGTAACTCGGGATTCTTATTGATAGTGTTCAGCATACCAGTACAGTGAAACCTCTATCCATCGTTCCCGGAACTATCGTTTTCCCGGATGCATCGTCCGTTTTGTTCGGTCCCGAATACATCCCATATAAAATAATGTTACATTTTCCCGCTTCTATCGTTCCTCGAACTATCGTTTTATCGCATCGATCGTTCAAAAATCGTAGTCCCGGCCCACAATTTTCCCGCAATGATCGTTCCTGAGAATTTAAAATGCTGGGTTTAGAGATAAATTAATACCGAAAGACGCA